TGCAGCTATCGCCACACCAACGAAACCAGCTAGTCAACCCAATGGCCTCTGATCCCAGCCAGATGACAAAATCTACAGCTACACCCTCATTCCTATTTTTCTGTAACCTGGTAATTATAAGTGATTTGATTGACTTATAAGAGGTCAGGGAAGATAGAATGAGCATGTTTATTGTGTAGGCAGGAATGCGTTTTTCCAAGTCCATACGCTTTCCTTGTTACACCTTGAGCTGGAGCAACACTCCTTGGGTTTAATGATGTCATCCCTCCACTTTAGTGTTTTTTCAAGCTGGGTCCTGCACAAGGTGTTTTAGATACCAGAACACACAAGGCACTTAGGGCAGGTCAATGTCTGGTAGACATCATTTCAGACTTCCATGAAAGTAACACTAGTTCACGGAATTCCCATATATCCTATACCCAGATCCCCTAAATGTTAATATTTTTAACATTTGATTTCTTTTCCGCCCTCTGCATGCATGCATACATACATATATTCACATGTGTAAGCATGCACACATACACATTTTTTGGAACTATTTGAAAGTAAGTTGTAGGTTAAGTTGGTACTAAACATTTCAATGTGTTTTCTAAAATGAAGTATTTTTTCCCAATTCTTTCATAACCACAGTGTGATAGTCAAAATAAAGCAAGTGACACTGATAGGATATAAATTACCTAACCATAGGCCTTATGCGGATTTTGTCAACTGACCCGATAATGCTCCTTACAGCTGAAGAAATTCTGGATCACATGTTGCAGCCAGTGATCATTTCCCTTTAGTCTGCTTTAATCAGGAACATATCCTTAGTCTTTCATGACATTGATTTTTGAGGGTGTACAGTGTAGTTATTTTGTAAAATGTCTCTTGATTTCAGTTTGTCTGGCATTTCCTCATGACTAGATCTAGGCATGAGCTTTGGTAGGACTACTACAGAGGGCTGTGTCCATTTCAGTGCATAATATCAGCAGGCACATGATGTCAGTTTATCTCAGTACTGGTAATATTAACTTTGATCACTTGGTTAAGGTGGTGTGCGCCTACCTATATACCGACCCACTCAGCCTTCCCTTACAAAGAGTACACAACAACTCCAGCTTTGTCTTTTTTAGTTCACATATGGGATGCTTGTCTCATTATCTTTTGACAGACCAAAGCCCAAAACTACCAACAAGATCATTCTGACTTGCTGTGTGGCCAACATATCATAGAAATGTAACAGTGAAAGTAGGAAGCCCAGTTAAGGCTGTCGAAATCTTGTGAGAAGCAAATCCCAAGTGGTGAAAAAAAATTTTTTACACTAAAACACTATATGAAAAAATACACCATAAACATAGTCAAAGGAAATTATCTCACAAACAGCCAATTTCATCAGTGATAGAAAGCAAAGGACTCATCTGAAAATATAAACAAAGGATATGAAGAGCATTCCTAGAAAATGTAAGTGACTATTAATCACATAAAGAGGTTGGACCTGCAACTTGAACAGAAAAGGAATTTGAGACAACACTATGAGAACTGTTTTTCACTTATTATTTGCAAACATCAAGATTCTGATCACAAGGTTGATTAGGGGTAGTGCTGGTGGAGTGCAAACTGGTATGACTTTAATCAGAACAATTTGACACTATGTAGCAGAAGAACTAAAGAGCCTCTTAATGAAAGTGAAAGAGGAGGGTGAAAAAGTTAGCTTAAAGCTTTGCAGAGTTGGACACGACTCAGTGACTGAACTGAACTGAGCAATATTTTTAAAGTATACCTCTTTGATCCAGCAATCTACTTTCAAGAATTTATCCTACAGGTAAATGTGAAATGAGCATCGTCCAGGCGATTCACAGCAGGACTGTGTACAGGAGTTTGGAAACAACTTAAGTGCCCATCGATAGAGGACTTGCTAAGTATAACATATTTATAGGAGAGAATCCTTTGCATCTGTTACACAAAATGAAGCCATTCTCTTTGTTATATTGTTCTGTTGAAAGAAAAAAAAAAACTGTGGAATATCTCTGGAAAGATACAAAGGAATCTAGAAAAGGTGATTGCTTCCCAGGAGAACTGGGGAGAGGGAGGCGGAAAAATCTTGCCTTGAGCTCAATTCTCTTCAGTACTGTCTGAATGTCATACTAGGTATGTTTCTCATGAAAAAGAAGCAAAATTTTAAAAAGAATTTAAACGTCTGTTGCAGTACACCGTTGCAAGCATAAGTCTTTTAAGAACAGCAGTGGTGAGCTCACGCATGGATTCAGGGTATGTTTTGGAGGAAAGCTGACAATACCAAAGGTGGGGAGTAGACACTGGCGCTGAGGTAAGTAGGCCGTTAGGATGAATGTCAGGCTCGTGGCTGGCAACAGGTGGAGAGATGAGCCATTTACTTTGCTGGGGAGCAGCTAGGGAGGAACAGGTAGAACGTGTCAGAGAACTCAAGGATTCTACTTTGGATAGGTAAGATTTGAAATGCCTATTAGTCATCCATGCAGAGATGTTATACAGGCAGTTGAAATAGGAGTCATTGTTTAAGAAAGGAGTCTGGAATGGAGGTTATTTAGAAGGCATCAGCATATAAATCAGCACCAATAAATAGAAATATGTAAGCCACACACATAATTTAAAATTTTCTAGCTGTCAGATTAAAAAGTCGAATCAGGTGAAATTAACTTTAACATTCTATTTGACCCAATATGCATAAATATTACTAATTCAATGTGTAATCAGTATAAAAATTAATGAGATTTTCTTTTTGGTTGCATCTTGAGGCATGTAGGATCTTAGTTCCCCAACCAAGGATCGAACCTGTGTTCCCTGCAGTGGAAGTGTGGAGTCCTAACCACTGGACCGCCAGGGAATTTCCAGAGATATATATTTTTTCATACTGTTTTGAAATCTGGTGCGTATTTTACACTTATAGCACACCTCAAATAGGACTAGCCACATTTCAAGTGCCAACTTGTCACATGTGGTGATGACTACCTATTGGACAGTACAGAACAGTGATGATATTTAAAGCTATGTAACTGGAGGAGTGGAGGAGACTCCAGGACTGGATTCGGGAGCACTTGAACATTTAGAGTTCAGGTAGAAGAGGAGGCGTGGCAAATGAGATACAAAGGAGAGACCACTAAACCAGCAGGAAAACAAGGCAAGAGTATGTCAAGGGAGCCATGAAGAAGGGGCTGCCAACTGCATCAACTGATGTTGAGAAGTGCAGTAAGATAGGGAGAGAAGTGACCACTGAGGTTGGGAAGATGGCATTGTTAATAATCTTGGCAAGACAGCTTTATTAGACTGGGGGCTCCTACTTCGGAGCTGGAGAATGGGAGGTGGAAGGTGGAGCCATCTTGTGCAGACATCTCAAAGGCAACATGTTCCAAACTGATCTCTCTTCTCTGGCATCCTCCTCCACTCTCCTCTCTCTGCATTCTGACCTCTACTGGGGAGCCCACGCTAGAAACCTGGGAGAGGTTCTTAAGTCCAGCCTTTCTCTCAGACCTCATAAGCTATTATTCACAAAGTCAGCCATTTCACCTGTGAAACACTTCATCTGTTTTCCTTGCCTGCAGACAAAGTGCTTCTTCAGTCCTGTCTGACGCTTTTCGACTTTTATGGACTGCAGCCCACCTGCCGCCTCTATCCATGGAATTCTCCAGGGAAGAATACTTAATGGAGTGGTTTGCCATGCACTCCGCCAGGGGATCTTCCCAACCCAGGGATCGATTTCACGTCTCTTCTGTCTCCCGCATTGGCAGGCAGGTGCTTTACCACTAGCGCCACCTGGGAAGCCCGTTTCCCTTGCTCCATCCCTATTTGCCCAGGATAGGCCCTCATCACCTCTAATCTTCCTAATATCTAGTAATCCTCATTGTTATTCAACCTCTAGCTTTGTCACCCTCAAGAGTTCTGTCATGAAGCTTGGCACCACCACAGGTCTGGCGTCCTTGCTGCTCTGCTAGAAATTTCTACCTTGCATGGCTCCTCATGAAACAAGCTTCGTTGTTCCTACTCTGGAGTTCCCTCTTTCGTTCCGAGATCAATACACACACACACACACACACACACACACACACACACACACACACACACACACACACACACTCAGTTGTTTCATGCTTGCGTCTTTATTATCCGCAACGCGCGCGCACACACACACACACACACTCAGTTGTTTCATGCTTGCGTCTTTATTATCCGTAACGCGCGCGCGCGCGCACACACACACACACACACACACACACACTCACTCACTTATTTCATGCTTGCGTCTTTATTATCCGTAACGCTCCCCTCACCTCTATTACCCACCCCTTCATAAAGTACCAAGATTGACTCATTCTTAATTCTAGTTTAGGTATGAACTTCAACGATCTTTAGCACTCCTCATCTCCTCCGCCGTCACTTTCCCCTACAGCTGGTTAAACGGTACACTTACTCTCCGTTTCCCAAACGCCTTTCCCAGACATTGCGCTAGAATTCAGGGCTCATTTCAGCCGCAGTTCTCACTACATTCACCACACTGTTCTCTAAGGTATCAGTTTCAGTCGCTCTCTCCAACTAAACTGTGAACTCTGAGGTGCGAGAGCTTGTCACATTCCACTTAGTTTTCCCAGTACCTGAAACGTTAACTTGACACATCATAAGGTGCTCAATCAACTGTGTGTTATTAAGAGCAGCCAAAAAGGCTCTGACAGTAATGCTGCGAGGAGCGCGGCGCGCTTTCTCGCGTCCCTCGCGCTGGTGAGATCGCGCAGGACCAGCCTGGCGTAGGGCCGGAGGGGAGGCCCGCACTTTCTCCGGAGGAGCGGCGCGGAGTCGCCAGCCGGAGCAAGGCAGGAAACGAGAAGGACAGCGCGGTCTGCGGAGGAAGGGAAGACGCGCCCCACCTAGAAACTTCCGGGTGAAAAACTCAAGCTGCCGTTACCCCTCGGGCCCCGCCGGCCCGGCCCACCGAGTGACCACGCCCACTCACATGACCGTAGCCCTGCGTGACCTGCCGCGGCGTCACGTGAGCGGCTGCGGTCACGTGAGCACGGTTTGCTCTGGGCTCTGGCAGCGGCTTCCTCGTGGAGCTGCACTCGCTGTCATCTCTCGGTCTCCCGCGGGCTCGATGGAGGAAGAGGAGGAGGAAGCGAGGGCGCTGCTGCCAGGCGGCTCGGACGAGGCGGGCAGAGACACCCGGGCTACCCCTGCTGCCTCCGGGGCGCTGCAGGCCCTCTGCGACCCCAGTCGCCTAGCGCATCGGCTTGTGGTTCTGTTGCTGATGTGCTTCCTCGGCTTCGGTGAGCCGGCCGGCCTGGTGGGGTGGGACTGGAAATCAAGGAATTCCAGACTGTCTCGGAGTTGCGTTGAGCTCCAAGGTCCTCCCGCCCCCTTTTCCCCCCACCTTCGCGACCCCCGTTCAACGCTGTTGCAGGCTCTTCAGTGTCCCGAAGGTGGGGGGTCAGGGGACCGAGCAGAGTGACTTTTGTCCTGCTCATTTGCTCTCGCAAGAAGTTCCAAAAGCTAGCACTTTCCCTTCTGGGGCTTTAGATACGAGAGAATCCCTCGATGTCAAGTTTCCTTCTCATGACACTTTGTTTAGAGGGAATTCGGAAAGATGTAATCCCCTCCCCCAAAGAAGCCTCCAAAAATACTTTAAAGTATTTAAAGAATACTTTAAATTTTTTGATTGAAGTATTCGTTGGCAGTCGTTTATGTTTCTCTTCCTCTTTGGTAAAATGTATGAGTGTGTCTTGTTGATTGCTTCAGTGGGTAGATGTATTCTTGTACTCCTCCGCTCTGCTAATGTGAAGCAATCATCCTGGACTGGACTTGTGCTGTTTGGTTTCAGTTACGAAATCTGGTGACTGAAAGCAGTTTCTGGAGATAATTTTTAAAATATCTGCTTATTATGTCCCAGCAACTAATTTTTTCCAGTAACATCCTATGTCAGCATCAGCTTGGTATGAAAGTAATAATGTATTTTTCGCGGACTCGCTGGATTCGGTGTAATCAACAGGTTTATGGTGGATACCTTTATCTACTGCTGGAATATATAAGTAGGCATGGAGGCTGCTTTGGGCTTTAGTTTCTTTGCATCTCTTTTTGTTCCCCGTCTTCTCACTTTGTGGAAAGATGGTGCTCATTCATTAACTTTGAAGCCTGGCATTGATATTCCTTACAGCCATTAAAGCAGGATTCATAAGTTCTGAGTTTAGGAACAAAAAATCAAGAACAACACAAGACACTTAAAATTGCCCCTACTTTAACAATTTATTTTTAGTGGTTTTTATGTTTACCTTCAGTGGGTTTCAGAAGCCAGAGTCATAACTTTTCTAATGACAATTTTGTTTCTTTTGAACTGGTGGCTTCTCGTGTATACTTCTAGACAGAGTTAGTGGAGAAACAGAGGCAACATTATCTCGTGGCCTATCAAAACTCTGTCGATTTTTTTACTGTAAAAAGTCCGACCTCTCTCCACTTCTTTCTTTCTGACCCTCCAGAAGATGTTACTATGTCTTAATTTAACCTTTTAGAGCTCTATTTTATTTTTCCTCATTCCTGGCTGTGTATTTCCTGAGTTATTTGATCTTGGATATACTGTTTGTGGAATTATAATTATTTTGAAAACATATCTAGTCAGAGTAGTTAAACTCCATTCCTGTGCGCTCAAGTGCTGGCTTTAGGTAACATTACTAGGAAACTGCTGAGGATGTTTTTGACATTTTTCATGTGTGTGTGTGTGTGTGTGTGTCGGTAGCTTTAAGGAAAGTATAGCTGTTTCATGAAGATGCTAATAAAACAATAGACATAGGAAACAGGATGAAAGTAAGGTGGGGGAAAAAAAAAGAAAGTAAGGTGGAAAACAACTTCCCTAGGGCTCATCTGGTAAAGAATCTGCCTGCAATGCGGGAGACCTGGGTTTGATTCCTGGGTTGGGAAGATCCCATGTAGAAGGGAATGGCAACCCACTCCCAACATTCTGGCCTGGAGAACTCCATGGGCTGTGTAGTCCATGGGGTGGCAAAGAGTCAGACACAGCTGAGCGACTTTCACTTTCATGGTGGAAAAACAGTTGTTGATTAACTTCTTAATCCAGGTTCCCAGTATTTGCTGTGTATGCAGGCTGCTGCTGCTGCTGCTAAGTCACTTCAGTCGTGTCCGACTCTGTGCGACCCTGTAGACTGCAGCCCGTCGGGCTCCCCCGTCCCTGGGATTCTCCAGGCAAGAACACTGGAGTGGGTTGCCATTTCCTTCTCCAATGCATGAAAGTGAAAAGTGAAAGTGAAGNCTCCAGGCAAGAACACTGGAGTGGGTTGCCATTTCCTTCTCCAATGCATGAAAGTGAAAAGTGAAAGTGAAGTTGCTCAGTCTTGTCCTACTCTTAGTGATCCCTTGAACTGCAGCCCACCAGGCTCCTCCGTCCATGGGATTTTCCAGGCAGGAGCACTGGAGTGGGGTGCCATTGCCTCTTCTGGTATGCAGGTTAATAATTTGTAAATAACTTGGTATGTTTTCTCTGGGTTATTTGGCTGCAACTTAGAAAGTCTTAATGGATGAGAAAGCAGTCCAAAAGAGTTTCCAGTTTCTTTCTTTTCTTTTTTTTTTTTGAGTTTCCAGTTTCCTTGAGTCCCTAGTATAAACATTGCAAATCACTATTGGAGTAGTAATTGCAACTTGAAACTTTTATATGGAAAGTATTACTAAAAAGAAATTTGCTTTTCCGTTTTCTAGGCAGCTACTTTTGCTATGATAATCCTGCTGCCCTTCAGATTCAAGTTAAACGGGTAAGTTAACTTTTCACCTTTGTTTCTTTTGTTGGCTCTGGAGCAGATACACTGCTGAAGCATCAACTCTCAGATTGCATGGTCCAAAACATTGTCTAATGAATCCATTTGAACATCTGTTGTCACCGAATCTGTGAGGGCAAGGAGTATTCTTGACTTGGAATGAGTGGCCACAGAGAATTCATGTATGGCACTTACGACTTGATATTGTTTCATACCTTAGATAAATATATACTATTTCCACAGTACAACCCAAGAAGTATTGTGAATTTTTGTTGGCATTTCTCTCTCCCACTGTGTAATCATCAGAATGACAGATGATTTGGTAGGAGAGCATTTTGCTTTCTTAAATATGTTAATTGTTATTTCATTTTTTTTTTCTTTTTTTTTCCATTTATTTTTGTTATTTCATTTTTAAAATGTGGATACTGATTGCAGAGGATTGTCCATGTCAGTATTTTTGATATTTACAGTTTCCTATGTATTTAGATTTTTTTTTCCCTTTGTAAGTTTTTTTTTTTTTACCTTTGGATAGGAAGAAATACACAGATTGGCCCTTCACATTCTAGAATGAATGAGAAAGACCAAGAATTAGTGAGGTAGGAGGAAAGGATACGCTAAAGATTGTCCTTTTTCATGTGGGTGAAGGCCCACAGCAGGTAACACACAGGGAATAGAAATGTAGAAGGTACAGGCAGATGTAGGCAGACGTGATCCCCACAGTGCGAGAGCTGATGGATGCTGAACTCCATGAAGCCTGTGAAATGACTGCAGGCTCAAGAAGTTCCCAGGTGTGACCATTTTTCTGGAGGTAGAGGCCAAAGCTGATAGTAACAGTAAATGATTAAGAAATGCCTCCACTACCAGAAAGAATGTTTTGATTGCTACACTTAACTGCTTTGAAAAAAATTGTTTTGTTTTCTTTCCATATAGGATATGCAGGTGAATACCACGAAATTCATGCTGCTGTATGCCTGGTATTCTTGGCCCAATGTAGTTTTGTGTTTCTTCGGTGGCTTTTTGATAGACCGAGTATTTGGAATACGGTAAGCTTGGGAAAAATCTCACTTACGGGTAAATATGATTATTAAGAAAACACAAAACTAGATTAAGTATTTCTAGAAAGAACTGAATAAACTTGTGTATTGAGTGTGTTAATCTGCATTTGTGTGTGTGTGTGTGAGATTTTGGTTTTTGAAACTTGGTTGATATTTCAGTTAAATGCTGCTAATGGCGTATGGAAACTCAGTTATCTAAAGGTAAATTATGCCCTCACTTGGAATCAGCAAGCCAGGTTCTGATTTCTGTTGGCTGCCACTTGCTCAGCTTCTTAGTTCTTCTGATCTGTTCCTAGCTTCCTTAGCCTCAGTTTCCTCATTGGTAAAATATGGATAGTATTTCCTGCCTTGCAAGGTGGTTATAAGGATTGAGGGAGATAGATGCACATATTTGGCGTGTATTTACTGTTTACCTCTCCCAGCCCCAGTGAGATTTTCTCTTCTGTCTTTCTTTAGGCATTAAACTTTTTGTGACCACTCCAGTTAGATGCTGAGGAAGGCATCACAATATTAGCTCTGTCAGTTTTCATCCTGATGATTATGTGCTGTTTGTGGAGACTTTAGGAGGAATGTAGTCTGGAACATTTTCAGAAGGCAGAGGGCAAAATGACCATGTGCTTTCCAGCCATGTGTGGTGAAAGAATTGAAGAAACTAAATGTGTTTAAGCTTGGGGACTAACTTTTAAACACTTTGATGAGTGTATAAAGGAGGACTTTAATTTGCTTGGTCTAAAGGGGTAGAATTCGCTTGAACTTGAAGGAAACAGATGCTATTTATGTGTGATGAAGATTTTGCTTGATCATGAGTTGTTTTGGGAAAACTTTCAGTGGACTGTGGTATGACCATTGCACAAGGATTTTTGGAGGGACTGGGATTTCAGAAGGATGGTTTACTCATATAATCTTTAATGACTCTCCTAATACTGGCATTTTATTACTCTGGGGAAACATTAATGAGCTATTCAGAGTGTGGAATGTTAGAGTAAGCAGATTTATATCATTTCTCATGGTCCCTGTTTTTCCTTTTAAAAATAGCTTTTGGTTATACAGAATTAGCTGAGAAGGCAATGGCAACCCACTTCAGTACTCTTGCCTGGAAAATCCCATAGACGATGGAGCCTGGTGGGCTGCCGTCTATGGGGTCGCACAGAGTCGGACACAACTGAAGCGACTTAGCAGCAGCAGCATACAGAATTAAAACCACTTAAAATTATTTAATAGAATTCCTTGGAATCAACCCTAAACTCAATAAAAAATTTGTGAAGAATGTCCATTTTTAAATGGGAACCCTGGGAACTTCTTGAAGATTATTTAACAAGTTTTGTTTAAGAGATGATAATGACTTAAACAGACATGCCTTTACCAAAGCCTCTGGAATCCTTTTGGGATTCGAGACCTCTGTGGATTAGCATTCAGCCTTGGAAAGCTGCTGATTTCAGAGGCCAACCAGAACCTTGTTTTTCTTCCTTTGGAGGGAATGCAGAGGAGTCCAAGAAATCCAAAGTGAATTATTACTGAAGGATTTGGTGATAAACTCTTAATTCACTTTCTTTCTCTTTTTCTAACAGATGGGGCACCATTATTTTTAGTTGCTTTGTTTGCATTGGGCAGGTAAGACAAATTGTTCACTGATTCAGTGTGGACGCTGTCTCTTGAATACTTGTCTACTTCCATCAGCATGGATGTGTTTGGTGAAAGCCTAACTTAATTAAGCAGAGTTCACAAAGGCCCATGTGACATAATGCACAGTCCATTTTAAGCTTCAAGACAGATGAACATTGATACTTAAATTTCACAGATTTACTAAGAAGAAACACTAAAATCATTGTAGAAGTTGTGTTTCATCATATGTTACTTATTTTGGATGCCTTGAATTTTAATTTTCTTTTTCATTGATCCTATATTATATTCCATGTTATAGGTTGTTTTTGCCCTGGGTGGAATATTTAATGCTTTTTGGCTGATGGAATTGGGAAGGTTTGTGTTTGGGTAAGTTATGCATAATTTCATTTGTCTTAACATATTACTGTTTGGGGGGCTTCCCAGGGGGCTCAGTGGTAAAGAAAGAATCTGCCTGCAGTGTAGGAGAATTGCAGGAGATATGGGTTCGGTCCCTGGGTGGGGATGATCCTCTGGAGGAGGAAATGGCAACCCACTCCAGTATTCTTGCCTGGAAAATTGCATGGGCAGAGGAGCCTGGTGGGCTGGAGTCCATGGAGCAAAGCGTTGGACACAACTGAGCGACTGAACACATGCACACATTGCTGTTTAGTGTTCATTTATCAATTTATTAAAGATTTGCCAAAATATGTTATTGTATATTCTGGAGAATAACTTCAAATTCTTGAAAGCTACCTCTCTCTCTCTATATATATATGTGTGTGTGTGTGTGTGTGTGTGTGTGTGTGTGTGTGTGTGTCTGTGTGTCTGTATATACACGCACACAGACACACACAACTGCTCAATTGTTGTCTTAATTTTCCTTTACAGTAAGCAAGAATTTTGAGTGGTGACAGTTAACTCTGTATAGGCTTTGAATATTAAATAGTTTTCCAGAGATGATGTTTTTCTTAGATGGTTTGCTTTTCTGTTGTGTTGAAGACTGTGATTTAAACCTCATGTAGAAAAGTGTAGACCATCAATTTCTAGCTTGGTGATTAATGTACATTTTTCTGTTTCTTAGGGAATAATGTGTAGGTCCTTTTGAATCCTGTTGAAAAGACTCTAATGAGCAGATTACTAAAAGACCAGTACCTCTCAGTGAATTTCAGTGTCTGTTCTGTAAGCTCATTCTCAATTCAGCCTTGGGCTTCCTGCCTGGAGGGATGCAGACAACCTAACTTACGCTTTTTACAGGTACCAGGGACTGGTAGCCATAGGTGACACATCCCCAAAAGTGCTCTAAGTGAGGGAGAAGGGAAAAACGGTTTATTAAAATGTGAAAGGAACTCAGAGGTAGATGTGTGATCAGAAATGGGCATCCATATAGGATTTGGATTCATAGAAGAGGGGAAATATATTTAGATGAGGACAGTGGTGAGGAGGACTCAGTGTTTGAATGCAGAGAAGAGGAATCTCTTACCTTAAGGTCAATATTTAGAACCTGCAGAAGGAAAATTAAAATCTGGAAAGTAGGAGAATGTCACATATGGAAGATACTGGCCTAAAAAGTGTGAATCTGTGTGTTTTCACAAAGTGTGGACCACTCTTCCCGGATGAGCATTTTATACAGTGTAGATGATGATGTGGTAGCTCAAACTCCTTTGATTGCCAGGCAGGGTTGTCATCGCAGCATATTAAATTACCTGTACTAAGCAGTGTAAAACTATGAACGCAGGTTTGTGTGCCTGATGCCCAGTGAGGTGCAGTGAAATGTAGGCGTTTAGAGCGGAGGAGGGTATACTGCAGGGCTGTGCAAGGAGACGAGGTGGCTCATGCCCTAAAAAGCTTCATGCTCCTGGAAGGGTTTTGGCAAAGCATTTTGAAAGACAGACGAGGCGGGGCTGTCTCAGGGTACCTGGTCAGCTCGAGTACAATTCTGTTACTGGCTGATGATGGGTGGTGGTGACGGGAGGCAGTAGGGTGGTGTCACGGGTTAGCTGTGTCAGTCCTTCGGCTCCCGGACTGAGGCTCCTGGGCTGTGTGCTCATGGTCATCGAGTACTTCCTTTTGGTGGGAGCAGTTTTCCCGTCTGCTACACAGCTCAGGAAGTTCGTACCAAATACTATTATCTTGTCCTTCAGAGAGGAGCTCCTGCACAGGATACGGGCGAAGGCCTGTCCCAGGAAGGCCCCATAGGTCCTGCTCGGTTACGAAACAGCCCTTACGGGGTGGACTTCGTGGCTAGAAATTTGGACTGCGCACAGTCTGGACGGTGTGTCTGCACCTGATGTCTGGAGCCTGGCCTGGGATGCCCCGAGGACTGGCTCTGGTGACTGGAGCACCTGCATGTGGCCCTCTGTGTGGCTTGGCTTTCTCGTAGTGTGGGGGACTCAGGGCAGCTGGACGTCTTACACAGTGGCTCAGGGTTCTAAGTGTGAGC